TTGCCCGGGTGCGCTGGGTGGAGAAGAAACATCTTAGAATAACACCAAAAAGATACACATAGTATCTCTCACGCTTTCACCCTCCTCGAGATTGTGAGCCGGACCTGGGTCTCATCAGCACCCAACACCTTGACATAACCCCTCCAAATTTCCACCTGAGTAGCAGTTATCGATCAGTCCACACACTGTAACTTGAACTCTAATTTATTAACTCCTTCATCTAGTAAACACACTCATACCATACGTAAAATAGTATTTTTTTAATTTTTATATACCAGAAGTTGGCAGAAAACCCAGCATGACCACTCCCATACATAGAGCTGGAGGCACGCAGTTACTAAAATAGAGGTGAAATGGTATTCATTTGATCTTAATTTTTTTCTTATTTAAGTAGTCTCAGGATAACAGAAATGAGGAAACAAAAGAAAACAGAAAGAATTTTCTTAGGAGATGGCCATTGGGGGAGTGGAGGTAGCAACTGGTTTAAACCTAGGTAAAACTAGAAAAATAAACTGCTGTTTCTTTTTTCATAAATCCACCTTGGAGGAGCATGTTTGAATGTCCCCCCACCTCCTCCTCTTTTTAAAAAGCCTTGTCTCAGTCATTTATTCCTGTGCTTTCAGCCCCAAAAGCTGTTTGATTTGGTAAGATCCCCCTCCATCCTCTGAGTGGAACTTCTTTGCTAAGGGCCTACAGAATGTCAAAACTGAGGCTCCGGCTTCAGAGCTAGAGCTTTGAACAGCCAGTCCACACAAAAACGCAGTTGGCGGCTTTAATGAAACTGCCTTAAAGCTTCAAGAACTTCATCCTTGGGGGATGCGTTTATAAGGAACATGGAAAATGCATTTCCAAGTTGCTGGTTCTTGTAGAAGCATAATAAACATTTACCAAAAAAAAAAAAAAAAAAAGACAAAACTTAATGTCTTTAATTATGCAGCAGCACATTTTTCTCCTAAAGAAATAAAGCTTCCATATAAATTTGTATGTTACGAGCTATACCTATATTTTGCAAATTCCTGAATGTGCATCTGTCCCCATGTCATGAAAGGTCTTGAAGAATTAAAGTTTCTGAAAGTTGAAACTCCCCTAGGTCATATGCTTGGCAACTCTGTCCATACCTCACAAACAAACAATTCTATTTTACTTTCACTAGTGTGTAAACCAGTGAAATGTAATGTTCTTAATTTAGTATTAGATATAAAATTATCTGTATTTATAGATACTAATCTCTTTCCCTTTTTCTTCAAGTTATGAATTTTATCATTAAAAACAGTCCCCCACTTTGTAGTCTGTAAGTGAATATATTATAGACAGGGATGGCTTGAAGACATCTAACACCACGTCACCCAGATAGTCTAGCTGTTTCAAGGATTACTTTGAGTAATTTATCAAAGGAAGCCTGCTAAATCCTGAGCGGTGAATATGAGGCCTTAGGAGGGAGAAAACATAAAGGCAGCATTCCATCACTGTGTAAGATAAATTCTGTTTGGAGGAGTTAATATAGCTTGTTTATACAAAATCTCAGAAAAAAAACAGGAGACGACTGGCTTCTAGTTCGCTTTCTGCATTTTCATTTTCAAAGGACTAAGAGTTAAATAACCTCTTAACAATGAAGCCTAAAGGTGTCTGTGTGTGAGTGCGCACGCACGCACACACAGGCACGCTCGCATTTTCTCCCCCTAGCCTTAAAGCAGGTGGACGGCTGGCCACCAGCAGGGGATGACAACTCTTTGATAAATTAAAGTGATTTCAACACAAACCTCCTTAGCTCTAAAGCATTTGGAAATGTACTGACATGGAGCTCCTGGCTTCTCATCCTCTGGAGCAATTTGTGAAGAGGAAGGCGAGCAAGGGATGACTGCACTTACATACACCTGTGCACAGGCGCGGACTGGGGAAGTGGGAGGAGGGGTACTCAGTTATATCACTGAAGCCATTTCCAAGGGCTAGGGCTGTTGCTCTGTCCCTAACTGTATTTGGTTGAAGTTTGACTTCAGTTTTCTTATTCTGCCTGCACAAGCACGAATGCAAATCCTTCTGAAGTGTAGAGTGCACTTAACAATTGTGTCCTCAGTGTCCCGGAGGATGGGGGCGGGGCGAGTGGGGCAGGGGGAGATCGGTGGGAGAGCACGGGCGGGAGAGATGCTTTTCTGCAGAACAGTTAACCAACAGCGGTAATAACTGTGGGCCAGGATCTTCTGCTAGTTCTTAGAGTTTCGAATCTATCATTCTAGACAGCCTTTAAACCTCATAAAGCTAGGGATAACTGTATTTTTAAAGACAGGTTTCCAGAATTTGGGTCCTGGGAACACTGGGGCAGACATTGGCCGGAAGAGGAGGCAGGAAGAGGAAGCCTTAGGCAGATTGGAGCAGGGAGACCCCTGGCTCCTCTTGTCTTTTCTGAGAGTTTGCCATGGTAATCTAGGGCAGCCAGGTCCCAGCATTAAATGCAAAATAGGAAAACATAACACGGCCGAGTCACAGGCCTGATCATATTAACGCCCTAGGTCAGACAGAGAGAATAATGAATAGGCGCGGAGCTCAGTTCGTGGAAGGGAACTTAATTAACCTTGGGAGAGTGAAAGAAAGTCAGAGATCATGTCTAGTACTTCGGTCTGGGGTGCTTATATTAATGTGTGTGTGTGTGTGTGTGTGTGTGTGTGTGTGTGTGTGTTGGGCGGAGGAGAGGTGTAGTCTGCTCTATGCATTTTTCTAATTTTTTTTTAACCCTGGGAAAAGCTTGAGTTTGTACTCCTGGGGGCAATCCAATCACCCACACAATCCCCGCAGGGAACTCCCCTGTGGGAGCCCCCGAACTCGATAGTGAGGTCCTGTGTCCTAGCCTTGGCCGGCGTAGGGGAATCAGTGGGGGTAGAGAGCAAGAGCTGAGGCTTCCCAGCGCCCTGGCCTGACCTCGGGAGGGACTGCTATGGAAAGGATGGAGGTGGGGGTGATGGGGAGGGATGTTCCACGGCCAAAGAGCGCCCAGGCAGGTCCTGGCTGCGATCCGGGGGAGGAAGACCAGGGCGAGAAGCAGGAGGCCGGGCCATTGTCCAGGGAGGGCGCATTTTTGTCCGGATGCTGCTGGTTGCTATAGCGAGGAGGGAAATCCAAACAGAAAGGCTCAGTTCGTCTCCCTCGGGCCTGGGAGCAGCCCTCCCTCCTCTCAACCAAAATAAAAGTGCCGCCTGGGGCCTGGCACCCTTTTCCTGAGAGCCGACTGCGGTCTCGAGGAGAAGGGTCCAGAAGACCGGGCACTGAGCAAGGAAAGGGGGGCTCTTCCCCACAGGGAACCGCCAGGCAGCTCACTGCTTGACGGGCGGAGAGCCCTGCTACCCTCCCCCTTTCGTCCCGGGCCCAACTGTTTTCTTGCTCCTATTTTGTTTAGGAAAAAATCCCATAACTTTCTCCAACTCATGCCTTCCCAGCGGTTGAAACTCCTTCTCCGCCTGGGCTGATGGCAGCGATTCCGTGTTGAAGGCGCGGTCTGAAGAGAGGGACCCGTGCGCAGCGCCGACAGGGTACAGAGGAGCGACAATATCAGCGGCAGAATGGCCTGTTAGGAGAGTTTAAAAATCATTCAAAGGAAACCTTACTAGAGAGAAGTGTAGATGCAAATTTCTCACATTTAAAAGAGACTTTTATTTTGCAGTAGGTTTTTCTTTCTTTTTAAATGTCTTGCTATTTAACTTTGAAAACAGTATTTGAAGGGAAGGTTATAATGAAGGATTTTTTAACCACTTATAATTTCTCCAATAGTGTAGCGAAGAAGAGTAAGGGGAGAAGCAGTAATATTTAATTAATAAGCTGTTTGCTTCAGAAAATTTTGAGCTTGTTCTTTTAAAAGGGGATATAGTCTGCTATATCTCAGGTAATGTGTTAAGATTTTATTTGCAGGGACAAGTTATCTATACCAGAAGGAGGTGGATAGTTGGAACTTGAAAAGTTGATTCTCTCTTACTCTCCTGTGACTTTGAAAGTCAGCCCTACCACCCATCTCTCTTTGTTTCTTTCTGTCTGCCTTTTGCCTAGAAGCAGCATGAAAAACTAGACAGAAAAACTTTTATTTGACCTTAGGAAGCCATTTGAAAGGCATACTCAAAGCATTTTTCTACATCCTCCATTTAAAATATGTCCTGTCCTTTCCAATGACAAATTCCTTTTTTAAAAAAAGTTCACATAACTTTGTAAGAAGTGTCTTAATTCATAACGATATCCACATTTTAAAAAATGCTTGAAAGAAATCATGTTAATGAAGAGAACATTTGCAGTAATTTGGAGGTAATTATCAGAATCACTACATATTCGCAGAGGCTTGAACAATACGTGTTCAGAGAAAAGCAAAACACATTATTTTAATAGTCTGATATGCAAACTATGGACCGTTCAATTATGTGGCTTAATAATGCATACATGATGTGATCTTGTTATTGGGATGGGTAGGTTTGTGGTGAGTCACTCCTAAGACCAAGAGTGCTCTCACATCCAGTAAAATCCATTGCCATGGATCAGGGGGCCCTGCCAAACTACATTTAAGAGAATAAAAATTAATGACTGAGAATTTGAGCGTTAAATTAACATTAATTATATGACCTGCATGCTGGAAAGATTAAATTTCTTACACCCTAATTAGATAACGTCTCCTCATACATCAAACAATTTCTATTTTCATTTCCAGGTTTCAGGAATGCAATGCAAAGTGCTGAGAGGCAGTAGTTGAGAGTTTTCCTTCTCTGAATTCAGAGTTTAGGGCGGTCTAACCACCATCTCTACTGTTTTCCTTTCTTTCTTTCTTTGACTGCATCAAAATAGGTCATATTATTAGAGAATTAAGCTCGTTCTCCACCGTGCACTAACAATGATAATTGGAGAGCAGACGGTGGTGGGCGGTCTCCAGGTAGACCAGGAGCGTTAGAGGGATCTTTTGCAGCTGCCCCAGACAAGCCTAGGTCCCCAGTCAGTGCCTCAGTCCAGGAGAACTAAGCGGCGAGACACCTGCAAGTAACGCCCAACCAAAACGCACCTAACAGTCTTTTATAGTAGAAACATCTAAGCTGCAAGTGCAAGGATGAAACTTGATCCCAAGTGTGTTTGGAACAGAAAAATTGTTTTCTTGGGGGGCATGAGGGACACATAACTAAAAGGCAAGACAACAACACTCATTTCCTTCGTGAAGAGATTTACTAGAGGTTTCTCAGCCGTTTCCTCAACAGTGCCCTCACATTAAGAAATCTCACAATACTCTGGCCACCGGCGCCCATTCCGGCGCGTCCAGCTGAGCGTCTGCCTGACTCTGTCTGGGTTGAACACCGGGCAGGCCTCGGCCACAAGTGGGGAGTGAGAGATGTTGGAGGGGGGATGTCTCCTCAACTTGAAAACCTGTTGTTGGTGGAGAGGGAGCAGGGAGAAGGGAGGAGTACTTCCTCCCACCAGGACAGGTGGTCTGCGGTGGCACGTTCCTTCTCCCAATTCCTAAGTTGGCACTTGGGGTACCCGGGCTCCTAAGAAAGCTGCCAAAATGGATTCGATTTAGAAACCGCGCAAAGACAACATTCCTGAGATGAGGATTCAGAGTTTCCTCCTAGATACACAGTGTGGCCCCAGTCCTCTCACATCCCCCAGGCTGCCTCCCCCTTCCTCCTATCCTCACCTTTCCTATCCTCACCTTCCCCGCAAGGAATGCGGGGACCTTTTGGATAGCTGCCCTGAACGTTGGGCGGGATGAGCGACCAAGATTAAAACCTCAAGGCGGGCGATTCGACGTCAGAATAGTTTTCACGTGTCAGTGTTTCAATGCAGCCACCTTTAGGCGTCTAGAGAAAAGGGTAGGCGTGCGTGAGCGAGAGTCGCCGTGGTCGTAAATAGCGACTTAAGTGGCGGGGTAAGATGGGTGTGTTAGGAAAGTTAACAGAAACTGCAGTGGCGGGGTGGGCGGGGGGAGGAGTGGCCTCTGCCTGCGGGTTCCCCATTCCTTGGGGCAGTCCGCGGGTGAAGGGAGGATAGCCCCACGGGGAGTGCGGGGGGTGGCGGGAAGGGGTTCAGGACTGGGTTGGGGGATGCTCTCCGAGGCTCCTGGCGGAGCGGCTCCTTCCACTGCGGGATCGCCCCCGGTCCTCAGCTCTTTGCCCCACGGCAAGAGCCTGTGCTGTCCGGTCATCGCGCACTACGGAACTCAAGCTCTGACTTGGCAGTTACTTCGCGAACTCCAACCAAGATCAAGTGGAATCCGATCTCAGGGTTGGAGTGGACCTGAAAGTTAGTCCGCCGGTATCTAAGGCTGGAAAATTTCCTCCTCAGTTCCCCGCGGAGCGTCGAGTCCTGCGATTGTGGGGACGGGGAAGCGGGGCGGGGCTCCAAGGCCAGGAGAGGCACCTGCACCCAGGGCTAGGGGATTCTGGAAAGCCTGACATTTGAAACTTAGCGTGCGCTTTCTCCCTCCCACGCTCCCTCTCTACTTTACTCGGAAGGAGCTCGGAGGGGAGGGCCTAAGGAGGATTCAGGGTAATATAGGTGGAGGAGAGTGAAAACCACTAGAAGATAGTCAGTCCTGCCTTCCCGAACAAAATATAAACCTCTCCTAAGAAGGCTCTATTTTGGCCAGGGAAACGCCTCTCCTGGCAGTTCCACAGAATCAGAACGTCGCAGCTGTTGTGGCAGGAACTTTGCAGTCCCGCTACTTGCACAGAGAGAAGCTTCCGCTGGTTCCCCACAGCTACATCTCCCCGTCTCCGCAGTGCTGTTGGTTTGAATAGTGTTTCTTCTTTTCTCAGACCTGCCCCCTACTAACCCCCGCGTCCCTGAGAACGTGCCTTTGCTCCAATTTCCTTTAAGAAATTGGAAAATCAATACTAGTTTAGCCTCTTCCGTGAGATGATGCACTGTCAAAACTCACAGGGAGGGAACCCGCGCCATCTGATTCCTGCGAGGACCAGAGCAATGCCCCTGCCCTTGGATAATTTACATAGAAATTTACAATGAATAATGTTCTTGGGCGCTCCAGAAAACATACTGTGGCTAGTGGCATTATTATAAGCCCTAGGACACGGTTCTTACGTATTCTCTAGTCTCGAAGTTTGGTTAAATGATTGATCAGAAGTTTGCACCGTGGGTGTTTATTCTTCCTGTTTTCTTAAACCGCTTCTTGGATGGTTTCCTGTCAGTTTTCAGATGCCATTTGCAGCACAAACAGATTTCATATGCCTACTGCAGATTGTCTTCAAAGTTCTAGTTTAAAGAGCATTATGTAAGCCTCTCTGTATTTACATAAGAGCTTTAACTCAAACCTCTCAGAAAACCATTTATTACCAATGGAAACCCATCCAGGGGAGCAGCATAACCGACCTGTATCTTTATGACACTTTCAAAAACAGTAGTGGTTCATTCTTTCTGCGGGGTGGGGGTGGGTGGGAAGTAGATGTAACAAAGAATTGGAATACTTGCATTTTTATTCAGTTTGGTTTTGTATCATTTGAGTATTATTCTTAAGCTTAATTCAGTCAGTGGGAACATTTATAGGATGCACTTTTTTATCTGTGTGGTCAGCACTTATCTAGACCATGGAGATAGCTCTGTCTCCCTTCCTCAAGTTAAATCTCAAATGTGAGAACAAATGTCTTTTAGTTAGTAGAATCATTAAGCATAACTTTTACTAAAATTACTATAAGGATTCCTAAATAATGCTCATTGTAAGCCAAAGTCAAGCAATAATAAGATATATAAAGTTTCCTTAAAAAATTTTTTTTTGCCACTTTTACTCTCATCCCATTCCCCTTCCTATATCTAACCACTTTTATTAGTTTAAATGGGTATCTATCTCTCTTCCTTCTTTTGTTTATTCATTCATTCATTCATTCATTCTTTCCATAGTCTTACTAAACTTTTGGGAGGATTTTTATTGTTATATATACATAACAATATAACTTTGGGGAAGATATATATATATATATATTAGGAAAGGGGCCTGGACGTAGTTATAAGGAGTTCAAAATTGGGATAATTTAAGGAAGGCCAATATCTTGCCCCATATCACATGGGACACTAGTTTTCAGACATATTTCTATTTCTGTTACTACATTAGCTGAAACATAAGTCACTTAGACATTGGCACTTAAATATCATTAGAAAAGATCAACAAGGGCCCTGCAGACTTCTTTCCTTAACTGTTAGACCATTATGAAGCTGGAAGCACTTCAAGAGAATTCTTAGGGTCTAAGGTTCTTCCTGGTGACAGTCTTATATTTAAATGACCAACCATCTCCTTGCAGACTGAGGATTGATGCCATTCTTCAGCCATGTCTCCAAGGAACCTCTTTTGTTGAGAAAAGGGACTAGATTCCCAAACATCCTCTCATAGATTGCCTGTTCTAAGATATAATTAAGTGGTGTTATGAGTAGTGTTGTTATCAAGATAAATTGCAGATTAGACAGGTTGTGTCTGGAATGTACCATCACCTTCCAGCCCTTTCCTCACTCTTCCTATCAACCTGGCCACACAGATCCCAGATCTGCCCTTTGGGACATTTTAACCCATGAAGACTTTTTCCTCTGAGGGACTCCTTACTATTGCCTTGCCTGTTATCATCAATCAGATAAGGTAATAAGGTAACCAATATGAGGTGTTAAAAGATGATATATGCTAAGAGGCATTTGCCTTTATCCAAAAAATGCTTGGAGTGTCCATGCTATAGGCCCTGAACAATGAATCTCAGTAGTGTAACTGGAATTTAAGACTGTAGTTGGCAGATGGAAAAGATATTTTAGGCAGGAGGAATTTGCAGCATTCCTAAAATATAGCCACATGTCCATGAGTCACCTTCTTTGTCCTCTCTTAAAGACCAACTCTACCTCTGTGAGCTAGTCAGATATGAAATTTCTACTGTAAAAACAGTGTCACTTAATTTTTATTAGTAATTATACAGTGTTGGAAAAGTTTTAATGGGATTGGTGTTGTATTGAAGAATTTACTTCTTCCAGTAATAGGTTTAACTGATCCCATTCTGGGGAGAATGATTCATGACTGGCCAATGAAATTATTGTACATTGCAGTGATTGGTTTAGGAAGAACACATGACCTAAGCAGACCAATCAAAGCAACTGAACATTAGCTTCATAATTTTGGCAAGAATAATGAGGGAAGCAGAAAACTAGTTAACACTCTTGTTACCTTATACTAAGGTATATAAAGTATAAGCCTTAATCTTCTAGGAGCCCCTCTTGCAAAGACAATGTGCTTTAGGAAAACCAATACAGAGAAAAGCAAAAGACAGAGAAAGATATGATATAAGTGAACCACTGGATTCATCTGTGCTTAAAGTGTATTCTTGGACTTTTAATTAATTAATTAATTATTATTTTTTAAAAGACAGAGTCTGTCTCTGTTGCCCAGGCTGGAGCACAGTGGTATGATATCAGCTCACTGCAACCTCCTCCTCCTGAGCTCATGCAGTCCTCCTACATCAGCCTCCTGAATAGCTGGGACTACAGGTATGTGCCACCATCCCTAGTTATTATTATTATTATTAGTATTTTTTTTTGTAGATAACAGAGTTTCACCCTGTTGCCTAGGCTGGTGTCAAACCCCTGAGCTCAAGTGATCCGCCTGCCTTAGCTCCCAAAGTGCTGGGATTACAGGCAAGAGCCACTGTGCCAACATGGATCAGAGTTATTAATACTTTAAAGTTTGGAGGAGGAGCCCCAAGGAGCTAGCATTCACCTTTGAAGAGGGAGTACTACTCAGCGAGTGCTAGTAACTCCAGGTAAGAAAAATGGCCTTGAAGAGTTGAGGTTGAAACCTCAGGAGGCATTGGCAGCTGTTGCTGGTGTTTCTGAGGGGGCAGAGTATGATGGGTCTGCTTCTGGGAGTGCCAAATAGAGTTGGAGATGGAAAGACATTGCTGCTGCCATGGTTAAGTATCATTGCTCTAGTGACACTGACAGGAAGAGCAAGCAAATAAAAAAGAACAAGGGAACAAGTTTCCCTCTGCCCTCTCCCTGTCTTCCAGTCTCTCTACAAACTCTTTTTGACAGAATATTTAACAGGGGTTCAGGTAACAAGTAATCTGAAGAATTCCAGGCCTAGTTTTGCAAGGCACGATCTAGAAGGAGGAAATTTAGAGTTGAAAGACAATAGCTTAATAGTATGCTTGCACACATATCAGAACCTTTTGTCCAATAGCAACTTTGTGCTTCTGTTTAGTAAAATGCCACTATCCTTCAGAGGATTGTCTCACTCTCTAGCCTCCCTCCTCAAAAGGAGACTCAACTTTTCCATAGGCGTTGTTTTCATATATGGATAATTAATCACCTAAATAATGAATTGTCAATTTTACCACCACCAACGCTCCTTATGCAACACAATAGAGAGAAAAAAGAAATAGAGATATATGTGACAAGCAAGGAAGCAAATATGTGTGGCTGTTACTGTCCATGTTTCTAGAATTGGGCACAAGACTATAGTTAATTTTTGTAACCTTCTTTTTCTACTAACTGTTCTATATTTCTTTGGCTTTCAGGCATCATTTCAGCCAGTTCTTTACCTGGCAAAGGCCCCATACTTCCATTATGAAATACTTTAAACCTCAGTGATTCTATCTTTTTGATTACTTTAGTATTCTTTTAACTTTTAGTCTTAGAAATGAAAGTTCTGAGAGGCATCCCAGTGAGTCCTCTGGTTTTTCCTCTACCTGTGTTGTATAGCTGTAGCCAAGTTCTCCTTGTTAATCAGAATCAACCACCCCAGTCATTAGAGTAATTCCCTTGTTTGCCTATTGGCTCAGTGGCATAAGGAGCCTAAAATAGACAGATGACAGTCTCAACTTCCAGTTCAATGGAACAATTGTTACGTCTGCTTGTAGAAGTTTTCTTTCTGTGGGAATTAGAACCTCTAAATCAGAAGAGCACCAACTTGTGGGGAATGGAAAGCAAAACTTCTGCTAGTGGGTTACCAGATGGAATAGTGACACTGATTACTAGACTCCTATATTCTGGCCATGGGAGAAACGGCACCATATGTTGGCCACTGATTCAAAGCATATGATGGCATTTTATAAGACATAGCCCCAAACTTTTAGTATATTCTTAACTGGAATGATAATGATTCTTCATAGATCATTTTGTCAGTTCAGTACATAAGAGATGAGATATTGTGATATGACCAGTGAATTCCATGGACATAAACTCATTATTGTACTTCTTTTGTTGCTGTGTTAAGGTTTTTGGTCAAAGGTAATATTGTGTAGAATTAAACAATATTGCATAGAATATAGTGACTTAATATTGTGTGAAATTAAACAATGTTGCACAGCATATAGTTACTTAGACTTTCTATAAGTCCATGATGGTAGTGCTTTTGGAAGCAGTGAGAAAAGAGAACGAAAACCCATTTCTAGAATATATGTACATTACAGTTAGAACTAATTGTTGTTGTATACCTGAGGGAAGGAATCCAGTGTGATCAATATACCACAAAGTAGCTGGCTGCTATCCCCAGGGAGTGGTGTCATTTGGGGGCTTAGCACTGGTCTCTGTAGTTTATGCTTTCTGCAGTGGCAGCCAAAGATCAGTCTTAATGAAGAGAAGCCCATGCTGCTGAACCAATGCATAGCTTCCACCCCTGCTATCATGACTATATTGAACATTCATTCAGCAAGTCCTTGAATGGCTACAGAAGAGGCCACCTGGCATTCACAAAACGTCTCATTTTTTAAAAACTCAATCTTGATTATTGAGAGCCTTATCTGCAGTGGATGTCCTTTGGTGAACATATGTCTTTGCAGTCCATGTGGAATCTATTCACGAATATCTTCCTCAGTGTTTCTTGCCATTTGTATTCTGATCTTGTTCTTAACCATCAGACCTAACCAGTGGTTATTAGCCACTGCCTATGAATCAGTGTAGATCTATATCTCTGGCTATCGCCAGTCATGAGAAAGGAGGTGATACACTTTGGATATTTGTCCCCTCCAAATGTCACCTAATGAGAGGTGTTTGGGTCATGGGGGTGGATCCCTCATGAATGACTTGGTGCCCTTCCAGTGGTAATGAGTGAGTTCTCATTCTATTAGTTACTATGAAATCTGATTGTTAAAAAGTCTGGTACCCTCCCACTCTCTTGCTTCCTCTCCCTGTCTTGCCCTTTCTGTCACTATGTGGCACACTTGCTCTCCCTTTGCTTTCTACCATGATTGTAAGCTGCCTGAGGCTTCACCAGAAGCCGAGGAGATGTTAGTGCCATGATTGCACAGTCTACAGAATCATAAGCCAAGTAAACCTCTTTTCTTTATAAATTACCCAGCCTTGGGCATTACTTTATAGCAATGCAAAACGGACTAACACGGGGGGAACCAAATGTACTCTTCTAATTTCTTTCTTCTAGAAAGATTTCCCTTCCCCACTGTTTTTCAGGAACACTCCTGATTAGAGCTGTAATGTTGCACGTGTCTACTTCTAATAAATCCATGCCGTTGAGGATTTCCCTGTATTTAAATAAAAGTCAACTGATTGAAAACCTTAAGTATATCAGCAAAACCCATTTACCTTTGCTTTATAATGTTATCATGGAACTGATATCCCATCACATTCAGAGGTTCCATCCACAGTGAAAGGGAGGTTATTATACAATAATGTGGATCAGTGGGGGTTGCCCTATCATATTATCATCCTATTTTTAATAATATTTTCACTGAAAAGTATGTCTTTAATATCAATCTACTCTTTTTATTATTTATATTTATTGTGCTGAATCTAATTGCTGAATGGTTCCTCATTACATACATCCACCATGATTTACTTTTCTTCTCTCAGTTATGAACACTCAGCTTCTATTAATAACTTGTTGCTACTACAAATAATTCTACAATAAACAGATTATTGTATGCTCCTTTCTGAACATATATAATAGTTTTCTTTATATATATACAGATATGTAGGAAAAAATCTTTTTGCATTGCAATGTATTCAAATACTTAATTTGACTGAATAGTGTCCCAAATTGTTTTCCCAAATGTCCACACCAGTCTACATTTACACCAGGAGTATATAATGATCTCTCTATTTTAGGGAGACAATGTGATTTATTGTTCAATGGGGGGCATTTTTGACAATAAAAGCAGGTACGAATAATTATACTGAACAACTAGTGTATACTAGGACTGTCTCAGACAAACTGGCATATATGGCTACCTTGCTCTATCCCTATATCCTTGGCAACTTGTTGCTGTCCGTTTTTCTAATATGTTAGGCAAATAGGTATGAAGGTGTATCTCCATGTTATTTTATTTTGTTTTTCTCTCATTATGTTTGAGAAAACTTTTGTATGCTTTCTAGGCTGTGAGGGTTTATTTTCTTTAAATTACCTGCTTATATTTATTGTCCATTTTTCTTTGGTTGAGATTACTAAAGATCTTTTTTATATTCTAGAAGTTATTAATTATCAGTTGTAAACATTGGTGATAAAATCACCCTTTCTATTTCGGTTAACATTATCCAAGATGTCTCTTATTGAACTGAAGTTTTTAATCTTAATATAATCACATGCATCAGTGTGGTGGATACAGTGATGTATGGTTCTAATCCTTCTTCAAAGAGAGATTTGTTACCTTGGCTACTGGATGTGATGTTTGTAGACAGACTTTAATTCTCAGCCATAAATCGTCTCAGCTGGATGCCCAATTCTATTCTATTAGTCTATACATTGATCCTTATGCCAGTACCATACTATCTTGATTACTGTAGCTTTGTACTGTAAGTTTTAAAATTGGGAAGTGTGAATTCCCCAACATTGTTCTTTTCAAGATTGTTTTAGGTATTCTTTGTTTCTTGTAATTCCAAATGCATTTTAGAATCAGTTTGACCATTTCTAAAAATAATACAGTCAACATTTTGATAGAAATTGCATTGAATCTACAGATCAATTTGGGAAGTATTGCCATCTTCACAATATTGTCTCCCTGTCCATGAACATGGGATATCTTTTCATTTAGTTAGGTCTTCTTTAATTTCTTTCAACATGTTTTATAGTTTTCAGTGGACAAAACTTGCATTTTAGTTAAATTATTTCTAAATATTTTCCTGTTTTTGGTGCTATTGTAAATTAAATTATTTTCTTAATTTTATATTCAGATGGCATATAGAAACACAACTGATTTTTCTATGCAATTGTGTACCACATAATAATGTTTAGGCCAATGTTGGATTGTATATGCAATGGTGGTCCCAGAAGAGTATAATAGAGCAGAAAAATTTCTATTGCCTGGGAATGCCATAACCATTGTAATGTCATAGTTCAATCCATTACCTTTTCTGTTTAGCTACGATACAGAAATACTTACAATTGTGTTACATTTGCCTACACTATTCAGTAGAGTAACATGCTGTACAGGTTTGTAGACTAGGAGCAATAAACTATACCATCTAGATTAGATGTGTAGTAAGCTATATCATCTAGGTTTGTATAAGTACCCTCTGTGATGTTCACACAATGAGAAACCACCTAATAATGCATTTCTCAGGGTGTATCATTGTCATTAAGTAATCATACTATAATTATGTCTTGTATCCTGCAGCTTTGCTAAACTCATTTATTAGCTCTATTATGGTTTCTACATATAAGATCATGCCATCTGTGAAAAGAGATAATTTTATTCCATTCTAATATGGATAGTTTTTTTCTTTCTTTTGCCTAGTTGCTGTGAATAGTACTTCCAGTACAATGTTGAAAAGAAGTGGTGAGAGTAAATATCCTTGCCTCATTCTTGAT